AGGCATAAGACTTGTACACTGAAAACTACAAAAACTGCTGAAGAAAATTAAAGATACCCTAAATAAATGGAAAGACATCCCATCTTCATGGATTGGAAGACCTAATATTGTTCCAATGATAATACTCCGCAAAGTAATCTACAGATTTAATGTAATTCCTATTAAAATCCCAACTGTCTCTTTAGTAGAAATAGACAAGCAGATCCTAAAATTCACATGGAATTGTAAGAGATGCCAAACAGTCAAAATAATCTTATAAAGAAGGGCAAAGTTGGAAGACTCACAGTTCCCAATTTCAAAACTTATTACAAAGTGATAGTAATCAAAACAGTGTGCTCCTGGCATCTGGTCTCAATGGAACAGAATTAAGAATCCAGAATAAACCCATACATGTGTGGTCAACTGATTTTCAACAAGGAAACCAAGACTGTTCAATGGAGAAAGAAGGTGTCTTCAACAAATAGTGCTAGGACAACCGAATAGTGATGCACAGAAGAACATAGTTGGATCCTTACCTCATACCGTATATAAATATTAACTTAAAATAGATCAAAAACTTACATATAAGAGCTAAAACTATTATTGTTGTGACCATTTTGCAATGTATACAAACACTGAATTATCATGTTGTACACCTGAAACTAATATAATATTGTAAATCAATTATACCTCAAGTTAAAAAAAAGAGCGAAAACTATGAGGTTCTTAGAAGAAAACATGACCTTTTTGATTTGGCAAAGCTTTCTTAGATATGACACCAAAAGCATGAACAACAAAAGAAAAATAGATAAACTGGACTTCATCAAAATTTAAAACATTGTGCATCATAGAACACTATCAGAGAGTGAAAAAACATAATAGAATGGGTAAAAATATTTGCATATCATACATCTGATGAGGGTTTAGTATTCAGAATATATAAATAATGCTTAAAACTCAAGAGCAAAGACAAACAACCCAATTTTAAAATGGGCAAAGGACTTGAATATATACATTTCTCTAAAGAAGATATACAAATGGCCAACAAGTACTTGAAAAGATGCTCAATGTCATTAGTCATTAGGGAAATGCAAATGAAAATCACAATGAGATACCACTTCACAGGCACCAGGATGGCAACAGTAAAAACAACAGCAACAGTGGAAAGTACTGATAGTGTTGACAGGGATGTCGAGAAACTGGAGCTCTCGTGCATTGCTGATGGAACCGTAATGGTGCACCTGCTGTGGAAAATAGTTTGGCCGTTTCCTATAAAGCTAAACATAGAATTACCATATAATCCAGCAATTCTACATCTAGGTACACACCTAAAGAATTGAAAACAAGTGTTCAACAAAAGCTTGTAAATGAATGTTCATCGCAGCACTATTCACAATAGCCAAAAAGTGGAAACAATCCAAATACCCATCTACAGATGAATGGATAAACAAAATGTATTCATACAATTGAATATTATCCAGCCATAAGAGAAATAAAGTACTGATACCTGTGACAACATGGCTGAACTTTGAAAACAGTACGCTAAGAAAAAGAAGCCAGACACAAAAGGCTACATATTGTATGATTCCATTTACATGAAATATCCAGGATTCCAGGTGAATCCATAGTTAGAAAATAGGTTAGTCATTGCCAAGGACTGTGGGTAGGAGAAAATGGGGAGTGACTGCTTAATGGGTACAGGGTTTTCTTTTGTAGTGATGAATACTTTCTGGAACTAGACAGTTGTAATGATTGCACATTATAAATGTACTAAATACCGCTGAATTGTGCACTTTGGTGAATTTTATATGTATTTTACCACAATTTTAAACTTATTTTTAATTTCTAAAAAAATCATTTGCATGATATAATAAAGTCTCAATATCACAAAAGGCAGAAGAGGAAACTGCAGTAAAGTTAATTTATCAAAGGTTAGCATCTGAATTATTGATAAAGATTTGACAGAAAGGTATAGCATCAATCTCCAAAGTTATCAGGCTCAGTGGTCAAAAGTGATGCACAGATTATATACCAAGATATAATTATAGTATAATTCCTCACATAAAAATGGACAGGCCACCAGAAAGTAAATGCCTATTAAAACACCCTTAAGGAATCATTATATTCTAAATGCCTTACAAAAGAGTTAAAAGCAAATGTGGCCGAGTCTTAGGAAAAGAAATAAATGTAAACGTCTCTAGTGACATTGTAAAACTGTTCTAGAGAACAATCTGACATTATGTAACAGGAGCTATAAAGTTAGTCAAGTACTTTGACCTAATAAATTCAGTTAGGGGACTACACTTTTAAAGGAATACCCAAAGTAGGAGAAGCAGGAAATAATTTGAAAAAAAGATATTCATAATCATGACATCTAACATAAGAAAATACAAAATAATTTAAATAATCAAAGAGAGCTAAATGAACTTATTATTATTATTTTTTTTTTGCGGTACGCGGGCCTCTCACTGCCGCGGCCTCTCCCGTCGCGGAGCACAGGCTCCGGACGCGCAGGCCCAGCGGCCATGGCTCACGGGCCCAGCCGCTCCGCGGCATGTGGGATCCTCCCGG